TCCCACCAGCAGTGGAGCAGGGTTCCTCTTTCCCCACAGCCCCACCAGCATTTGTTATTGGTTGATTTACATATGAAATGTTAATAATAGGGAAGGCTAAATTCTCATCCTAAAAACAAATAATTGTTCGCATAAAGTTTTGTCTTACAATGTATGAAGTAGATTGTGTTTATAATGGAGCCTGAGATAAAGTTTTACACGCAGGTATTTATTAGGGAAGTGTTTCCAGAAAGTATTCAGAGTAGTATTCCTGGAAGGTGACAGAGTATTTATCTACTAAAAGCATTTATCCTTTAGCTCCATTCTCCATTGGGAGGCTCCCTGGTAGTAAACTCCCTACATTTCCAGGTTGTGCTTGCTCCTGTATGCATTCAATTTAACAGTATTGAAGTCACAGAGCATAAAGTGAGAACTTCTCAGGACCAGTATGAAGGGAAGAACTTAAAGTTGTATTTCATGAAGATTGTCAAAACTCCAATTGCCTCTGCAATGGCTGAAGTAAAGAAAGGCAGAGAGGATCAGGGATAATGCAAAAAAGGTGTGGGATGCAGATCCTGGCATGTATTTTCAGAGAAGGTATCTTCAAATATCTGCTGTCCATTCAGCAGATATACATTGACTAAGTTAAAATCATTGATAATTAGATTATTCACTCAACTCACCTGCCTACACTTTGCTGTCTTCTATTTGAATTATGAGAACTTACAGCAATGTATACCTTTCAGGTAAACAGAAAAAAAAATACCTGTCGAAGATGAGGACAGAGGATTCAGACTGGGAGTAAGAAAAGAAGGCAATCAGTGTGGATAGATGTTGCCAAAACTAAAGCCATTTTAGGACATTCACTTTCTTTTGGTTGATTCTGTCTTGTGATTGCCTAAAGAAGGGATTTAATTAATGCTATTGTTTGAATGTATGTGTCTCCCCCAAATCCACATATTGGAACCCTTATAAAAGTCTACAAATTCCAGCTAGGCATGGTGGTGCAAACCTATAACCCCAGCACTCAGGAGGCTGAGGCAGGAAGATTGCCATGAGTTCAAGTCCAGCCTGAACTAAACTATGTAGTGAGATCCTGTCTCAAAAAACAAACAAAAAACCCCACAAACAAACAAACAACAACAACAAAATTGTCCCCCCCAAATTAAAAGTTCCTTTGTAAGGAGCCTAAGGGAGCTGGCTAGGCCCTTTTGCCCTTCTAATTCTGCTATGTAAGGATATAGTGTTCATGCTTTTGCCATGTGAAGAACCCGCAACAAGGAGCCATTTTAGAATCTGAAAGTAGCCCATACCACTGAATTTGCTGGGTATATTGATCTTGAACTTGTCAGGCTCTAAAACTGTAGGATGATAAATTTCTGTTCTTTATAAATTATCAGATTTAAAGGGCCAGTGTGGTGGCACATGCCTATAATCCCAGCACTTGAGATGCTGAGGCAGGAGGATTGCTGTGAGTTGAAGGCCAGCCTGGACTACGTAGTGAGTTCAAGACCAGCCTGAACTACCTAGTGAGACCACACTGGACTAGATAAAGTCTAAGGGGCACCTTAGATTGAGCACAGAACAAGAGAGATAGACAGGGATGCCTTCTTTCCCTTTCTTTTCAAAATGGGAAACATTGCCATAGGTAGACATCTGCAGCACAGCAGGCTGGATCCTTGGCAGGCCTTCTTCCCTCACTGCTTGGAATTCATACTCAGCTCCAAAGAGTGTCACCTAGTCTCTTCTACATGCAAACCTGGCTTGAGCAGACCCCCACTGGAGATAGTTAAAATTACTTTTAATAGTCTGTCCCTTTAGAGGAAACAATTACATACGGCTATCGAACAACTATGGTTATCAAAGCAACAATGAGAAGCCTGTGTAGCTGGGTATTCCAGTCAGATAAACCATCAGCTTAGGGCTCATCTTAAAATGGTCTTTGCTTTCACAGGTGTAGAAGTTTTTTTTTTTTTTTTTTGGTACCAGGGATCGAACTCGGGTCCTTACGCTTACAAGGCAGACGGCAGAACCACTGAGCTACATCCCCGGCCCAAGCAGCTTATTCTTGCAGGATTTTTCAAAGGGGTGGTCTTGGGGTTGATCTGAGAAAACCCAAGCCCCTTCTTGAAGACCTTCTGTGGGGCTGGCTATGCTGGGAAATTATCATTAGCAGAGAAATAAAAGAAATGTCTCTGCTTGGTATCTTTCTTCCTCCAGGGTCCTGGGTTTACTGATACTGTCCTTTTCTAACCAACTTAGTGAGGCATGAAGCAATTACTTTCTTTAATTAAGTTTATCTCTTTCCTAGTGATGGATATTACTGATGTCATACACGGGAAGGTGGATGATGAAGAAAAACAGCATTTTATTCCCTTTCAGCAGTAAGTACTTTGGCGTGTATCCCAGGTGCCTTGAGACCAGGATTACCTCTTTGAATGGCGTGTGAACTCAGAGCCCAGTGCTAGGAACCCTTTTCTCAGGGATGGGAAAACTACAGCTGGAAGACTGTCAAGTAGGAGGTCGGCAGAAGGCTTTTTTTTTTTTCAGAGTCTTTTATTTCGGACTGTAGCGTGAGAAGGTAAACTGGACTTTTCCTGATTCTCTAGAAATAACTGAAGGAATGTAAAATAGAGGGGAAGTGTGTGTCTGCACTGAAAACCAGAGAAAGGTACCCAGCAGATGTCAGAAATGCTGAAGTGTATCTGCGCTCCGTCCTGTGGATTAGATATCACGGGATATCAAGATTGCACTGGACAGTTCAGGGCTTCTCATTCTGCATCACACATAGGAATCACTAAGGAACCTGGTCAGAAGGCAGAAGTTGACGCAGTAGGTTCAAGGTCTGGATCTAGCACAGCTTCTGGCCAACACTGTTGACAGTGGCCCACACACCACTCTTCGGGTAGGAAGGGTTTGGAGGGTAGGAGAGTGAGGGGCTGTGTAGCACAGGGCTTAGCACCACTAAGATGCAGGGAAGATTGGGGGACAGAGGAGCTCTGAAGCCCTCCTATTGAGCTGGAGCTGTGGGTGGGCCACTGGGGACTGTTAGTGAGCAAATCTTGGTCATGCCACTCTCTTGAGAAGTGCAGGTGTGAGCCTGGGACTGCTCTGCTTTCAGGCTCCTCACCCCCTCCGCAGACCATGGTTGATAGATCGCCTCAGGGAGGCAAAATGTTCCTGGAAATGACCCTGCCCTGGGGCCATCTGCCAGTTAGAGGTGTTGTCTCAGCTCCTTGGCAGCTGCCACTACCGATCAATAGAACAAACACTTCCAGAAACCAGCCCGAGGATATTTGAGTTAATACGTCATTTTTACAAATGATACCACAAATGAATACAGAAAGAGAAATCATGCAAACGAAATATTATTTCACCTAATTAAATCACCTAACCATTTAACACAGGCACACACTCAAAGAGAGGACCTATAAATTCATGGAAGATGAGTGAAATGTAGATTAAAACAAGGTTTAGTTTGGGGCTTGACAAAGTTTTAAAATTATAGGAGATATCCAGGATTTGAGCAGGTGTAAGGAAACACCTCTCGCTCACAGATGTATAGATTGTTACAGTACATTCAAAGCCTTAAGATTTAGATCCTGCAAAGAATGTGCTCCATAATTAACAGTGGTGATTTCTGTTGACTTAACTATTCATGATTCTACCCCTCCCTTTGTTGTTCCACAATAAATACATATTACATATAATTTTGTTTAAAATATAAAAATCCTGATCTTTCCATTTTCAGTCTGGCACCTTTGAACTCTTCTAAGTGTAAGATACAAATAGCTCCTGCTAGGCAGTACTTCCCGCTTTCATCCAGAGGCCATTAATTATTTTAAAAGCATGCAGTTATCCGGTATTCTACAACTTAAATGCCGACCTTCCCAGAGTAGGATGAGCTCAATATTTTACATATCTTAGGGCTGACACCATGAGATACTTGTCATATCTGTGCACGCTGCTCCTCACCCACACACTGAGTGTGCACTGCTTAATGATGGGATATGTTTTGAGAAATGTATCCTTAGCAATGTTGTCATTGCACCAGCTTCACAGAGTGGATGGATACAAAGGTGACCACAGTGTCTTTAGGTATAGACTCCTCTGGGACCATCAGATATATGCGGTTCATTAGTGACCAAGATGTTGTAATGCTGTACATGACAGTATTGTATGTTATAATTTATAAATACATTTAAATAAGTATAATAAATAAATGTACTGAATTTAACACAATATTAATTGTTACATTCATGTATTGAATCCGTTAAGCAAATAATATATAACATTCATATCCATGAGTTATGTGCATGTAATGTATTATATGTGTTATCTATTTTTTACTATGATTACACGTGTGTAGTTAGAGGAGCATCCGTGAATGTGAAAGCTATTTGAACCATGACTCTGTATCTGTTTGCACCATGGCATGGCGGTGGGTCTCCCTGCTCAGTTTCTGAACCAGCAGCCGTGTGGCCACAGTGAGCCCCCGAGATCAACCCCGCTGTAGAATAATACACGCTGGAGTCCCGAGGAGCCCAGCCCTAGTTTGATTACCACTTGTTTTGCAGCCAGCAACACTGTAAAATGTTTGCCTTGCCAACTGCAGCCTCTGGCGCTTCACTACTAAGATTTACGACGAGTGCTTTGTAATCTGTGATAGTGTTTCATGCCAGAAGGATGTGTGTATATTCCATGTATATTCTGGTCACTCTCCCGAGAGTCAGTGGGAGAAACAGCGCTCCCGGCCGAAGCAGTCCGGGCTTCAAGACACATGCTGCAATATGTTTTCATCATCGGTTGCAGGGGGAGCTGTTGGCCGGCACCCCCACCACTGCGATCCTTAGTTTGTTCTTGCGCAGGGATCTAAGAACACCCTCCTAGGGCTCGCACACAGGCTGTGTACCTGTGTGTCGGGTGGTGGGAGTGGACGGTGGCCTCCGAAGGCCTGTGAGCCAAGCCTGTTGCCCGGCAGATTAGGAAACCAGGGCCCAAGGGAGACTCCTGCAGAGCACATGCTAATTAAGTAGCACTAGAATCAGAAACCAGACCTCCTGCCCATTCTGCCTCCTGCTTCTATTCCATCCCGGCAGCTACCACAGAAGGGCTTTGAGTGTCGCCTCTGACTTCCATCGTTAGCAATTAGTCTTCAGTTTTAATTGTTCCTGGGCTTGTTTTTTCTTATTTGTCTCAAGTCGTTTCCAAGATGTGTTCAGTGCTTAAGATAGGCACTCAGTGGAAAAATAAAAGGGGAGATGACTAGTGATAAGGGCAAAATTATAACAATTTATTTTTTATTTTGTTTGCAGTGCTGGAGATTGAACCCAAGGCCTTGTGCATGTAAGGCTAGCTCTCTGTCACTGAGTCACATCCTCAGGCAGTTTCATGTTTTATTTTGAGACAGTCTCTCACTAAGCTGCCCAGGCTGGCCTTGAGCTTATAATCCTCCTGCCTCAGCCTCATTCGTAGGTAGGGTTACAAGTGTGTGTCACGGTGTGCCCAGCTAACAATTTATTTTAAAGAGCTTAATTGGCTTTATTTTCTGTTCTATCGTTGGCCAATACTACAACACTATTTTACTATTTTACGCCAGCAGGGTGTGGAGGCTGAGGCAGGAAGATCAAAAATTTGAGACCAGACTGAGCTACATAGTGAGTTCAAGGCCAGCATGGACTACAGATGGAGACCCTGCCTCAAGACACCCAACCAAAGAAGGCCCAGGAGAGGAGATTGGTTGTACAGAAAAGGGCTGACAAAAGCAGAAACTAACAAAAAGAAACAATGGATTAGTCATTTCAAAGTTACTTTCCTGGCTGGGACAGAGAGACAGAATAATAGAAAATAAGTGATAGGTTACCTTTTTTGGGAAAAGGATTAAGGCAGAGGGAACTCATTATCATGCCCATTGAAACAAGGGCCTATTTGAAATGTGGCTGTTATCTGTATCCTGATTTCTTGGAAAGTCAGAGATTTAGCTTAGTTTCAGCTCGGTGCACTCCCAACCTGGACCTTTACTAAGAGTGATTCCAGTTTGTTTTTGTTTTTTTGTTTTTTTTTTTTTGAGACAGGGTCTCCCTTTGTAGCCAAGGAAGGCTGACCTTGAACTCACAATGATCCTCCTGCCTCAGCCTCCCGAGTTCTGTTTTTCATTTTTAGCCTGGTTTGTTGGAGCTGGTGCAGGAGCTTAGTCCAAAACTGTGGCACCCTGTAATCTGTCCTTAACAGTAGCAGGTGCCCTCCGATAAGATGTGTGTAAATTTCCAAATTATTCCCTAAAATCCACTGCTGTCTGAGACTGAGAGATACCCTACCCTTACACACAGGCACACGCACACACTTTCTCTCCTCACCTCTCATTCTCTTGCCCAGAATTGCAATGGAGACTTACATCCGGCAGAGACAGCTCATCATGGCGCCTCTCATGACATCCAGTGTGATTGGGGAGAATGAGCCACTCACTTCCGTCTTGAATAAAGTGATAGCAACCAAGGATGTGAATCACAAAGGACAAGGTACAGAGCCTGGGAGAGGCTGGGAGGGGATGCTCTGAGCCCTGGCCTTGGACCCACCCTTTCCCTGTCTCTCCCTGATAAGACAGCCTGGGGGACCACCCACCTGTGATCCCTCACCCTGCGGAAGGCGGGGATGCATCACACGTGGATTGGGAATGCTTGGAGCCCCTGTTTATCTCGTCTGTCTTCTCCTGTCCTACATTCGCAGCTTTGACTCTTAAGTAAACGCACAAAGGAAAAAGAGATTCAGGAGTAACTGTATTCCACTCTCTGAGTGAGTGTGTTCCTCAACATTTCTTAAAAACCGGGAGGAGAAGAGCAAAGTAATACCAAGGGATGTCGTGTGTTAATAGAAAACAAGAGGGAACCTGACAAAGCTTTTTTCTTTTCTTATATTTTTTGTATTGTTCTGTTGACAGAGTTTTAACTAGAAGAAGTTCTGCTTTTGGAAGCTCATATTAAACACAAATGATAACAAAAAGAGTCAAAATTTTAAAATTGAAATACCAAGATAGTGACCACATTTTGAAGATTGAGTCACTTTTTTTTTTCACTACCCTGTAGCTGTTGTTTGAAAAGTCAGCAGTCGGATAATACATTATTTTCAGTAAATTTAGTTTCTGATGTGTACACAAGTATCCTGAGTGGGAAAGACGTGAGCAATAAAGAATCTGTAAACAAATAACTAAACACATTTATTTTCTTGGAGGTCTTTACCTAAGAATATACTTTTAGTTAGAGTAGAAAATGCTTATACTAAATAGATTGTTATGTACGTATGATTTGTTTTTTCTGTGCCGGGCATGGTAGTGCATGCCTGAGACCCCAGCACTTGGAAGGGTGAGACAGGAGGATCCCCATGAGTCAAAGCCAGCCTGGACTACATAGCAAGACCCTGTCTCAAAAAAACCCCAAAAAACAAAAAACAGTATTTCTTTCTTGCTACAGAACAATAAAACAAGCACTTTTCAAATGTTTTTTTCTGTTCTTTACCAATTTTTTTTGCAGTTCCATTAATATTTTATTGATTAAATTTGTCAAAAAGAAAAAATAAAGTTACAACAATTTAAAGATTTTTTTTGCATCTTAATATTTTTGCTTCATTTTGTCTTTAGAATCAGGCACCATTTTATTCAGTAAAATAGAATAAGTGTTCTGTTGGGCTGAGTGGGAAAGGTTGATTTTTAATTTTTATTTATTTATTTATTTTATTTTATTTTTTTCTTTTTGGTACCGGGGATTGAACTCAGGACCTTGGTCTTGTGAGCCAGGCACGGTGCCACTGAGCTAAATCCCCAGCCCAGGTTGATTCTTTAGACAGAGGCTGGAAAAAACAGAACAAAAAAAGTGAGTGGTCGTTTCAAAGTTCCTTTTCCTAGAAGGTGATCACAGAGACATAGAACAGAAGGTAAATACCTGATTGGTATTTTCAACACCAGGTTACCTTTTTTTGTAAGGATGAAACTAGAGGAAATGTCATTATCACACCAATCAAAACTGGCCAGTTTGAGAAATTTAGCTATTACCTCTCTAGTCCTGATTTCTCTGAGACCCAGGTAACAGGTAAGTTTTCTTTTGCTAACGTAGAGCTTCGACATGGTTGACTATGCTTCGACTTTTAGCCTGGTCTTTTAGCTTAGTCCACAACAATCATCTCCTGTAATTTTTATTTAACAGATTTAAGTCGACTAGATAAACATTTAAGTGCTCTAATTTGTCACCATTGTACGTTCAAATGAATCTGTAATGACTGTCTTTATAGTGAAGCTTTTCCTATATTAGGAGATTAATTCCCCAAGAAAACTCCGGAAGTGGATTTCTGAGTCACATGGCAGAAACAAACTTATCCCAAAGACATCCGTGTTGCCAGATTGCTAACCTGGGGTCTCTCCCAGCGGGGACCAGGCACCAGGCCGGAGCGCTCATTCTTGGGCTCTTGCCTGCTTTGTGAACTGACATTTAAAAATCTGTACTAACGTGTTGGTGAGAAGACTCCATGGTCCTCTTGCATTCTTTTTTTTTTGGTACCGGGGATCAAACTCGGGTCCTTGTGCTTGCGAGGCAGGCGGTGGAACCCTGAGCTAAATGCCGGGCCCTCCTCTTGCATTTTAATAAGCAGTTTGAAGATGAATTTCTAGCCTTCCCCTGTACTCATGAGTTCACACACACACATGTACGTACGTATCATGAATTTCACATCTCAGATTTTATGTTTTTTGTGGGTTTTTTTGGTACTGGGGATTGAACTCCAGTCCTTGCACTTGTGCAGCAGGAGGCAAAACCACTGAGCTAAATCCCCGGCCCCTTTATGAGCTTTTTATATCATGAAGATAACAATCTTCTCTTATTTAAGACTCATTTTTCTAGCTTTTGTTTAGCTATATAATTATTAACTTTTTATATTTCCTTGTGAATTTTCTTTATGCCCCGTTTATTTGGTAGAACTTTTATTTTAATGGCTATACATTCATAATTTCTTACAAGTATCTCACCATTTTGTACTTTTTTACATTTTTATGTATATCAAAACTTGTTTGTATATGGATAATTCTTTTGCTTTTCTTCTCTACTTTGAAAAATTGTTCTTTTTTTTGAAAAGTTGTTCATTTTGATTTAATAACTATACACTTCTTTTAATTTCTTTTTTATTTTATTTTTTTTTATTTTTTTATTTTTTGGTACCAGGGATCGAACTCTGGTCTTTGCGCTTGTGTAGCAGGAGGCGAAACCACTGAGCTAAATCCCCGGCCCTAAATTTTTTTTTTTTTTTTTTAAGACAGGGTCTTCCTATGTATTTCAGGGTGGCCTTGAACTTGCAGCAATCCTGCCTCAGCCTCCCGAGTCCTGGGTTTACAAGCTAATCCCATGTCTTTTTTGCTATTTATTTAGTAGGAATTTATTTTAGTGACTGTGTCAGGTGGGAAGTTCAATTTATTCTGCTTTAAAATAGCAAGAAAATTACACCAGCATTTTAATGAAATTGAGTGTTTTCTTTTTCATGATTTGTCTAGGCTCTTTTGCCAAATATTACAGTATTCAATCTCATTGCTTCCAGTGACTTGTGTATCTTTCTCACCACTCCTCTCCCTGCATATTTTGGTATCTGCTAGGGTTGCCTTCCCTACCCCCACGCATCCCCAAAGTAAGGATCTATTCACGTCTCTGCAGATTCTTAAAGAAGTCCTGTTATGAATATGATGGGAATATCATTAAAATTATAAGTTAACTGGGGGAGAATTTACATTTTTGTTTTTGGTTTTTTTGAAGTACTGGGGATTGAATCAAGGGCCTTGGTACTGAGCTACATCCCCAGCCCTTTTTAAATTTTTTTATTTTTGAGGTAGCATCTCCATAAATCACTAAGTTGCCTAGGCTAGGTTCAAACTCATGATCCTCCTGCCACAGCCTCCCAGAGTACTGGCATTACAGGGATGCACCACCATGCCCAATTGACAATTTAGATCTTTACAATAAGGGACCTGGTTTTTATCACACAACTCATGTTTTTCTTGCTGTGTGTATGTAGCAAAGGGTAGCAAGATCAACGGAGAACTGAAAGTTTATCTTTTCTTTCCTTAAAGGGCTTTGGGTGTCCTTGAAGCTGTTGCCTGGTGACCTCACCCAGGTTCAGAAGAATTTCTCACACTTGGTTGACAGATCGACAGCAATAGCCCGCAAAATGGGCTTTCCTGAAATAATACTGCCAGGTAAACCCTTTCCTTGACGCCTGTGTCTGTTCCTCCTCATGTCAGAGTTCCTGCTGATAGGACAGGTGGGGCCATTCAAGTCCCTAGGACTCAGTTATTTACATTCAGTTGCACCAGAACAGTGGCAGATACAGAATAGCAGTACCCTAAAAGGCTGCCCAGTGGGCAGTGCCAGGAAGACCCTGGGAAATATATCTCAGCATTGCCTGCATACACGCTTTCCCCTCTCTGTTCTCTACACTTCCTTCCCGAATCCTTCCCTGGACGTCCATCACTGGGTGCCAGTGATCACTTGAGGTTCCTGGCCCAGGAGACTCATGTGCCTGGTTTGCATGTACCTTTTCTCCTTGGGCGCCACCAGCCCTGGGGGCTCCTGAGTCCTGCTCAGGGTCAAGAGGACCCTGTGCTCCACACCCTTAGCTTCCTTCTGTGCTCCTGCAGTCCTTATTCTGTGACAAGGTAGGCATTCTGCACGTCTTTGCTTGAACTTGACCTTTTCGTCACCACATGTTGGTCATCTGTATTCCTTAATCTTCACAATGGTCTTAAAAGGAAATCATTCTCTCAAAGAACTTTGTCAGTGTTAATATTAATTGATATCAATACAGTATTAATAAAATTTCTAGAAAACCAGTCATACCATGTTAGGAAAAATTTTAGAAGACCAACTTGTTATCTACTACATAAAGATTTTAGTTCTTTTAGGGTGATACAAGATCTTAGTCCTTCTTTGGGAAATTAATGGGCAGAAATGATTTGTTGAGGCGTATATTGTCTACCTGTGATGGTTATTAAATGAGTATCTGTGGAATGAATGAATGAAAGTTATGAAAGGGGGATTATCTATTCTTCTCTCATAAGACAAGGTAGCTCTTTGACATCTTAGTTCATCCATTCCAGGGCCATTTCACCCTGCTACATATTCATCAACGTTCTGGGAAAATGTTGTGTATTCTTGATGTTAAATAAGTATGGGTAATCCCTAATAAAGGTATCTTTACTGCTAGGCAAGGCAGGAATCTGAAAAAGTAGAAGAGTTTATCACTTTGACAAGATGAGTTTATTTTTGAAATCCGGAATGAAAAGAAAATGTGGGGATGTTTTTTATCAATAGGATTGGTTCCCAGGCAGCAGTGGGCTTTAAAAATCTGTCTCGGACAGTGGTTCCTGGTGCCGGCGCCCTTCGGTCAGGGACTCGGATAACTTGAGAAACAGGCGGAATCAGGGTGCCGTGGGGGTTCCTGGGGTGAGCCAGGTCTGAGGAACCCAAGTGGAGCTGATGCTCGCTCAGCCTGGAGCTCCTTCCTTCCATCCCCATGTGCGTGCACTCGGCCACCTTTTAGCTTTTCTCTGCCACATCTGCACCACCCATTCTGCACCCTCGTCTTCACAGGCAGGGCCTTGGATTTGATTATCTCCCCTCCAGCCTCTCCAGAGTGGCCGCCCCCAGGGTTGCTGAGTCTGACGGGTGTCTTCAGCCTCCTGATCCACTCTAGCCTCTCAGCAGTATGAGGCACTGTCAGCTTCTCCTTCTTTGAAGCACCCTCTGCCCTCTTGTTGGTGACCCTGTGCTTGTCTTTCTCTCCCCTCCCCTGGGGCCATGACTAGGAATCCTCTGCCACCTCATTGCCATCTTCCGCTTCGCTCCAGTATTCCTCAGTGTCTGTCCTTGGCCCCTGTGTGAGTTTGTTAGGGCTGCTGTGACAGAGTACCTCAGACTAGAAGGTATGAAAACAGGAGTTCATCCTCTCAGTTCTGAGGTGGAAGTCCAAGGTCAAGGTGTCTGCTTGGCTGGTTTCCCATGAGGCCTTTCTTCTTGGCTTGTGAGCAGCCATCTCCTCACTGTGTCTTGACAGGGCTTCCCTCTGTGCCAGTCTGCATCTCCCCTCTGTCCATTGCCATTGCCCTGTCTTCACCACCAAGACTCCTTTGAACTCCATGGCTGTGTGGCTACTTACTCCTTGCCTCAGGACTTGAGTGGAGACTCTTCCTTCCCCTCCCTGGATCCCTCTCCTCTTTAATTGGTTCATTCCTCCTCAGTGTCATCTTGCGTGCCTCATGCTCCTGTGAGTGTAGAGCTGGTGCCCTTCCGTTGTGTTTTCTCGCAGAGGAGGGCGCCCCCACGCACCCAGCTACACAAACAAGCTGAAAGTCACCTTGGACATCTTGTGTTCCTTCCCTCACACAGTAAAGCCTGGCCAGTTTTGCCTCTGAAGGACATCTTGAACCCTCAGCTTGCCTGTCTCCATTGCGACTGTGCACACTGACACCCTCGTGTGTTCCTCTGTGACTCATGTACCTGATCCTCAGGCTCAGTGAGGCCGTGCCTCACTGTTGTCTTTCCAACTCGTAGCGCAGTTCTTGCTACAGAGCTGGGGCCCAGTCAGTTCTTTTAAGTGAATGTTACTGCATCATCTGACCAGGCCGTAATGTATTCAACCAGCTAATTGTCCACATGTTTAATATGATCATGCATTGTCTAACGATGGTTTTACCTTCCCGGAAGTGTCATTAGAGGATTTCATGTGGCCCAAGTCTCAAAGAATGTACTTAATGTATGCAGACTAAAACAACTACAGCATCACTAGGCAACACATCTTGTGGGGCCACTGTCATATGTGCAGTCTGTTGTTGACCGGAAGACTCATGCCTCTACTTTGGGGTGATATTATCATTGGAATTGCTGTGTGTCGTTTAAGGTTTCTGACACAAATTACCAGTTTATCCACTGGTAGTATGGCAATGAAGATTTCCAAGTGGACTGTATGAACACACACACCCTTTTATCTTCCCCCAAAACTATAGGCAAGATCTTTTTTTTCAAATGGGAGGAGTGATAAAAATGGCAAGTGCTCAAATTGTGCAGCCCTGTTTGCTCATATTGCTAAAAGGTTTTGTTTTTCACATGGGAAGACAGTATATATACTGCAGTTGTTGTCGTCATTTTTTAATACTGTGTCCTCACCCAGGAATGTGAAATGCTTTTCATGTGTTCGAGCAGTCTTCTCTGAACCTCAGTAACATTTAAACTTTTGTTCACTATGAGAGTTAACGTGTTTATTAACTAATTTTAATACTTCTTTCTGATTAACAAAATAAACCAGAAATTACTCTGGCATAGATAAAAAAAAGCTGATTTAAATAAATATAAGGTACACTGTGGCCTTTCAGAAATAGTATCTACCTTATCAGTTATAAACACTACATTTCAAAGACATCATGGTAGACAGGAAAAGAAGCTAAAGAGACAAACCTGTGAAAGACTGTTGTTGAATGAATAGCTTATTCTGATTTATCGCTTACTTTGCAATACATCCGGAAAGTCTAAAACAGCTGTTCTCAGCACCGCTCACAGATGAGCTGTGTCACATTGCAGGGGACGTTCGCAATGACGTTTACGTCACCCTGATCCATGGCGAGTTTGACAAAGGGAAAAAGAAGACGCCCAAGAATGTGGAGGTGACCATGTCCGTGTTTGATGAGGAGGGAAAGCTCTTAGAGGTACGTGGTGTCTCCCGGGAACCCCGCCGCTGTCACGATCTGCTTACAGCAAGAGAGACGCTGGGCTTCTTAATTGTTTGCCATAGTGGGGTGGGTTTGGTTGTTCATAAGGAGACAGTATAAAAGCTGTGAAATTTGTGATTATCATGGGTCATCTTTACTAACGAGGCCATTTAGAGTCTTATTTCTCCTGGGCTAAGAAATAGTTCCCTCACTGAGGATCGGGGGTAAGCCTTGGAGACACAGGTTCTTGGGCATTTTCAGTGACTCTTGAGCTTAGTCATTTCCTCTGGCGCCTGATCAGGGTAGCACAGATACCCGACCACCTTGACGGGCACCTCGCTTTCAACTGGGCCAGAGGAGCCCCGGGAGACCTGCCCACTGGGGGCCCGCCGAGCTCCAAGGGCCCTGGGGCAGAGGTCAGCTCTCTACTGCTCTCTGGCTTGATCATCAGGAATCTGCAGCCCCAAATAGAGAAATTCCTTTGTCTGGAAAAACGGGAGTTGGAAGCAGAGCTCATATGGATCCAGGGGTCCTGACTTCCGGTCCACGACGCCTCCAACTCTGGCAGCTTTCTGCCTATGCAGACAGACCATGGAGACAAGACTGGGAGGTCTGGATTCTGACATTAAAGAGAAGGAAAGGTGGAGTGGTCACTGCGGGCGGTCATCACCTCCACCGAAACCTGGGTGCTCATGGATGAGCCATAGTTACCTGCTGTGGAATCCAAGAGTCAAACTCTTGGTTCTGGCACAAAGAGCTTCTGTCCTCCTCTTCCCCAGGGATGTTACCCTCTTTGAAGGAAACAGATCTACAGATTTGCTAAGCCAGGGATAAACAATGCTATGGGCCATGGATTCAGCTTTTGATCCTCACGAGTCCAAATGCACATCCTCCCCTGGTTGCTCATTTCATAGCTTTCTAACCAACTTGGAAGCATCTCCATCGAGTCCTTGTTCTCCTGAACTGGGTGATTCATTGCTAGGAAAAGGTACAGCCCTGAGTTGGAGTGAACATGCCGAACCATTACACCAAGTCCTTGAAGCAGAGCACAGCCAGGTGTGGTGTTGCCAGCCTATAATTCTAGCACTCTGGGAGGCTGAGGTAGGAGGATAGCTAATTCAAGCCTAGCCTGGGCAACTTGGCAAAATTGTCTCTCAAAAAGATGGCCTGGGGATATATCCCAGTGTGAAGGCACTGGGTTCAATTCTCAGTACCACAAAGAAAGGCAAGAAAGGAGGGAGGAGAGAGAATGTATGCTTTAGAGTGGAAGAAAGAGTAAAAATCACAGGAGAGAGGAGTATTCATACGGTGCTGGGTCCTTACCTGCTACCAGATTTATATACTTTGACCCTTGGAAAAAAATGGTAGAAATTCAGTCCTGCCCTACTGTTCCCCCCACCCCACCCTGTGATTCATCAGCTCACAGATACCAGCGTAAGGTGTGCACTAAACATGTTGGGAGCGGGGACTCGTGCGAAGTATATGCAGTACTCTTATTTTCAAGATGGTATATCCCCTCCAAATCTTTTCTTTCCATCCAAAGAAAGCAATTCATCCTGGGGCTGGATATGAAGGCATGTCGGAATACAAATCAGTAGTCTACTACCAAGTCAAGCAGCCCTGTTGGTATGAGACCGTCAAGGTAGGAATTTGCAATTATAGCTTGTGTCATCTGTTAAACCATCCCTATCTTCTTTTTACTCCCAAATCATTCCAGCCTTACTCTGAAGCTTTAGATAAGCTAAATGAATTGGTAGTTGTCATTCTGTATCGGAACATCCACTTTTCATAAACCCAGAACTCTTCACGAACACGTATTCATAAACATATAGAAATCCGAAGAGAGAAACTTAGGGTTGTAGGAATCAGGCAGTGGCTGCCAGGATGTTCCAGACCCAAACAGAAATTTCACACTCTGCAAGCAGTTTCCTAACATGCTTTCTTTCTCCTTGGCCCCTACCCAAGTTGTCTGGGCTTCTTTTCAATTTAAAAGAGTTTTACAGAATCCCAAGTGCTTCACAGATCAGGCACCTCCTGTGGGCCCACAGTGGCTCTGCACATGACTGAACACGCAGGGGCAGAAAGCCCTCTTCCTGGCCCAGTGACTGCATTTCAAAGAACAGACCCCCAGGCCCTGGAGCTCCTCCGGGTCAGACCCTGAACTGGAGGCCCTCCTTTTGAACCTCAGGCCAAGCCCACACTTTCTGACAGCTAGAGTCATAGAAGCTCTTCATAGAAAACTAAAAATAAAATAAAGTCCTACTCCAAAATACGGCACTCATCTCACTTCTGAATCAACTATTCCAACAGTCTTATAGTTCATGTTTTGAATGATGCTGTTCATATAAACTCATATTGTTTTTTTGTTTTGGGGTTTTTTTGGGGGGGGGGTGGAGTACTGGGGATCGAACTCGGGACCTTGCGCTTGCGAGGCAGGCGGCAGAGCCACTGAGCTAAATCCCTGGCCCTTAAACTCATTGTTTTTTTAAAGCTGTTTATTTCAGGCATTGTAAGTTCTTCAGAAATACGTGCTTAGATGCTTGCCTAGTTGTTTCGTTATATAATCATGCCATAGTTTTTTGAACTATTTCCCACACATCTGCTGCTCCTTCTCTTGCCCTGTGGCTCTGTTTCCCTGTCCCCTCTCTGGATCTGAGCAGCAGAACACTTCCGTGCCTCATTGTTTTCTTTTCCTTTGGATCGAGACCCTGATTATTACCATATCATATGTATCTTGCAGTGTGGAAGGTCCTATGTAGATCTCAAAGTACTGGTCTTTTCCCTCGGAAGTATTAACTGTTTCATAAATGAGAAAATACTAGAAATTTGTCATATCTCCATACTCTGAATTTAAGATAAACACCGAGCTGATCTGAGATTCTTTTATCTTAAAAATGACTTAATCTCCTGTTAATGAAACTTTAAAGCAGTCTTACCCTGTATTTGTGCCATAGTAAGACACTAAAATTGAAACTAATTATTGTTGTATATCTCAGAATATCTGGGAGCAAGAATTTTGAATATACTCACCCTAAAGAAAGGATATTAATTTTAGCTCAGTGGTTTCACCGCCTGCTGCACAAGCGGAAGGACCCGAGTTCTATTCCCGGTACCAAAAAAAAAAAAAGGATATTATGTACATATATCAATGCTCTATGATGAATATAATCATCATGTATGTACCAGAAACATGTACTAATAAAAATTCAAAAAGAAAAGATAAAAGTCTAAAATGGAGTTATATTACCCTGATTTGATGACTGGACAATATATACATGAATCAAGACATCCTATTGTGCCTCATAAGTAGATACAATGTTGTGTCAAAATAAATAAATTCATTAAACTGGGCCTCATTCTATAAAATGACCCTTGAGTGCAAGTTACTGTGTGTCTCTGCCATTAACTCCTCCTGTCACTCAGGTATTCATTGCTATAGAGGATGTCACACGCTGCCATATACGATTTACCTTCCGACACAGGTCATCCCAGGAATGTAAGTATTAGGAAGACTGCCACGTAGTTCTATTTTAAGAAACATTTTCTTACGCTTGCCATACTTTTGTGCTGTAGTTTGATGCTTGTAAACTGGACACTTGGCAACTTTATTGTAGAGTTTATTGGTACAAAGGAAATCAGAGTAGTCCATTTTCCTGGGCTTGCCAAGTCTGCCGTCTGACGGCACCTCAGCATTTGCCCCCGATGAGTTCTGTAAGACAGTGGTAGGTGCTGCATGACCAAAGAAGTGAAAGAGATGTAGGAAGCTGCATTTCCTCTGGGACACTCACGGTGTATGTGGCCCCTGAGCTGAAGAAGGACCACTTGATCCTTCATTTCTCACAGTTGTCATCTAGCTCATGAAAGAATTGTTTCCAGCTTTAAGCACCAGTTCACGCATTGGCTTCTCTGAAGTGGAAAATGAGTAGAAAATTGTTTTGAGACTGATCCCAACATTTCTGCAGCTGTCTTGCTGTGGTTCAGCGCTGTACAGAAACGTAACCCCTTCATCTGAAATGCATGTATGGCGCACGTCCACATTCTGGGCTGCAGGTGGAGCTTGGTCCCTAACCGCCAGGGGGCACAGCCACTCAGAGCCCTTGGGCCCTGGTTAGCAAGATGAACAAGGAAGTGGGTATTCGTGTCCAGAGAAGGCTGACTGATGCCTGATGCCGCTGTGAAGGAGCGTGGCTCAGCTCCTCACCTAGTCTGTCTGCATGTTTATGCATAGTTTCCTGCATCTTAGCTGAGGCTCAAGGGTGAGCAGAAGTCAGCCCCAGGAAGAAGTGTATTTGGGGATGCAAAAGGAGCTCAGCATGGTTAAAGTGGGAATGGCAGAGCAATAATAATATCGGGCTGATGGCACACACCTGTAATCCCAGCACTGTGGGAGGCTGAGGCAGGAGGATCACAAGTTCTAGGCCAGCCCGGGCAACTTAGTAACTTAGTGATACCCAGACTCAAAATAAAATAAAAGGCCTGGGATGTAGCTCAGTGTGAAGTCCCTGAGTTCAACCCCCAGTATTACAAATAATAATAATAATAGTAGTAGTATCATCTTGAACTTTGTGAAATCACCATTTTTATAGACTAAAAAATCCACTATCGATCATTTCATATGGTTCTGCATAAAACAGGTGTCCTTGGTATCTCTTCTGGGACCCCACGCAGATAGTAAAATGTGCATGTTCAAGTCCTTTACATAAAATAGTGTAAGACTTCCCTGTTACCTATGGCATCCTCCATATTCTTCAGATTGCCTTGGCATCACTTGTGATACCTGATACGGTGCAGTGCTCTGCACATGGTTGTCCTGCTGCACTGTGTTGGGAATAATGACAAGGAAAGGGGTCTATGTGTTCAGTGCAGATGGGACCCACCGCAGCCTAGACACATGGTCCACACCAGCAGCAACATAAGATTGTTCTGAACCAGAATGGTTGAATCCAGATACGGTGGACCAACGGAGTGTACTAAGCTAAAGATGACTGACATCTTAGTTTGCATCCAACATTTCTTGATGCCCCCTTTATATGCTCTTTTTAGTTTCCACGGTAATCTGATAAGATATATCTGACCTTTCACCCCCATCTGCACATTAAAAATCTAAGGCACTGAGAGGCCTCCGGGGCTAACTAACCAGTGATGGGGTTGGACTGATGCCAAGCTCTCTGATCTAGATCATTTTAGGTGGCCAGTAGCCAGCTCATGAAAGGTGAGGTTCTTTTTTACCATGTTAGAAAGGAGCTGTTGAAAGGTAGTTTCTGGTTTTGGTTTTGATGTAGGTTGGGGACGAGGGACCAGCTTTCTCTGCATAATGCCCAGCATTGGAACAGCCCAGATGGCCCTAAGCAGGAGAATGGGGAAGCAGGAGAAGTAGTGGGGCTGTGGATTACTGCTTAGGCAGTGTGGGGTCATCAGAGTCACTGCAGGCCCTGGAGCCGTGCAGCCTACAAGTCACCCAGTGTGGAGGTCGAGAAGGGGCAGTGAGCCTGCAGGCCGACTCCCCCCTCTTGGGTGCCACAGGATGCTCCTGGCTCTGTGCTGGGGAGCAGTGAGGTGGTGGAGACGTCAGGCAGCATCATAGCCCTGAAGCCTCATAAATATCACAGCGTCTGTCAGAATAGCCGAAAGTGAGGGACCTCATTAAAGGGTTTGAAGCAGGCCAGTTGCCTGGGTGGACTGGGCTTTGGGAGCCTCCCTCTGGCTGCAGGATGGAGAACTTGCTGGGTGGAAGAGGACTGGAGACAGAGAGCCCAGCAGGAGGAAGTTGTAGAAGCAAATAGCAGAGGAGGCACAGTGGTGCACACCTGTGATTCCAGCACTCTGGGAAGCTGAGGTAGTGCTATTATAAGTTTGAGCCCAGCTCGGGTAACTTTGTGAGACCTTGTCTTATAACGTTAAAAAATGAAAGCGACCTGGGGATGCAGCTCAGTGCAAAGGCCCAGGACTCAGTCTTAAAAGAGGAGGAGTAGGAAATGGAAGAGGTGAGGGTGGTCCTGCCTCAGGTAGAAACAGAAGGGATGGAGAGAAAGAAAAGGAGCAAGCTCCACAGGAGTTTAGGACGAGGTGTAGGTGTGGGAAGAGTGAGTGGCAGCACCAGCATTTCTGGTGTGGAGGACTCTGGGGATGCTGAGCTCCTTTACTGGGGGTGTGGGCAGAGGTGCATGCCTGGGGTGGTGGCTGATTTCAGTGTGGGGACCCGTGACACACACAGGCTCACTGCGCCTTCCCGACTTGTGTGTGTTAGCTTGTGCTTCACTCTTCAGAGCGAAGGTGAACTCCGCCATCGCAGCCATCTCTGCCTGGAGTTTTCCACAACACTCAGACACACATTTCTGTCTTTTCAGCCAGAGATAAATCAGAGCGACCTTTTGGGGTGGCCTTCGTGAAACTGATGAACGCCGATGGGACCACGCTTCGGGACGGGAGGCACGACCTGGTGGTGTATAAGGTGCTGCCTGCAGAACGAGGTCCAGAACACTCGAGGATGTTTTTGCTCCCTCTGAAACTGGACTCTAAGCCTCCTTTCAGACTTACATGAACAGACATCAGAATCCTCCCCAGAGCTATATGCATTTGTCCCTTCACATCTACAAACCCATCAGGGTCTGGGCACATCCACTCTGTGGTTTCCATTGGTCTCTGGACAACAAGTGGCGTTATTATTAGGCCTTGGAAAGGATCTCGCCCGCATGCAAAGGGTTGTCATGGCCCAAGCAGGGAAGGGCCAGCTTCCACTATGCTGTATGCATCTTTCTGGTGGCCTCAGTGCCCCTTGGGCCTGGTTAGAGTGTGGTGGGTGTGGCAGGATGTGGCTTTCATATCACCAGTCCCCATTGCTATGCTCGCTGGTCCTTGCTTCCTTTCCTGCCTGCATTCCGTCCTAACTGTTGCCGAGTTGTTGCATCTACTGAGACTGTAAAGTATAAGTAGATGCTAGAGGACCTCATCTATCCCGGAATATCCGGGGCAGAAGGAGAACACAAGTTTGGCAGCTCTTTTGAGATGCATCTGCCTGAAGAATGATTCCCATAAAATCGCCATCATTTGTGATACTTCTAGAAGGCATCGCAAACTATTTCTTCCTCTGTCACCCCACGAAAGTACAGCACTGACCATTTATAGGTTCGAGAACATGAAATCCACTGTATTCTGTAACATAGTTATTTGCTTCCGACAGAGACTAGGACATTCTGCCTTCTGATGTACAACTTATTCCATTTTCATTCTGTGAAAGAATTATTTCTGGGCTCAAATTCAGCCCAAAGATATCACAGTGCCTGAGTTGGGGGGAGGCAAGAGTATAAATTGACCAAGCTACGCACCCCATCGGGACCTGCACTGGCTCCCAGGGGAAGCTCTGTCTCCTGCATGTAAGAGATGATGCCCTATGTGCGATGTCCCTAACGTGCTTCCTCCTCAGGGTGACAACAAGAAGATGGAAGATGCTAAGTCCTACCTGATGCTGCCTGGGACCAAGGTGGAGATGGAAGAAAAGGAGTTCCAGGCATCCAAAAACCCGACCGCCTTCACCCCCAGCAAGGACAGCACGAAGGACAGTTTTCAGATCGCCACGCTCATTTGCTCCACAAAGCTCACCCAGAACGGTAGGCAACTGCGGGGTCGACAGTGAGACGGAGGAGCTTTGTCCCAGGGCTCCTGGGCTCCCTGGCCAGGCTCGTGGGGCTGCACCTCGTGGGCCAGGTCTTTGGGGCAGGCGCTGCATGACTGTTCACTCCTCAGCGATGTTCTGGGTGGTGCTGGTCAGCTCGCAGCACTGCTTCCAGGATTTCTCTGTCCGTGTTTCCTTCCGTCATTTGGTGAGAATTCTAGGGCCTTGTTCTGGGAGTAGACATGGCTGGAGCCTTGGGTAGTAAGAGGAGGGAGCTGCCAAGGCCAGAACCAGCCCCCCTCCCAGGGGGATGACAGAAGGCAGGGAGTCCTGTTACAATCCCAGTCCGTTCCTCCTTTTCTTCTTTCTTTCCTTCCTTCCTTTTTTTTTTGTTGTTATTATCACTTAAGTTTTTTGAGACAGGCTTTCTTATAGCCCAGGCTAGCCTTGAACTCACAGCCCCCTGCCTCAGCCTGCCAAGTGCAGGGACCATGGACCCCACCACCATGCCCAGCAGAGCTTCTCTTTCCCTCTGTGATCTTCCCTTTTTCTGTTTTATCCAAGAATGCGAGAATTTTTCATAAAATCACTGCATAGCTCATGTGGTGCTTCATTTTATTTGTCCTGCAAATCTCTGATAGCAGTTGTAGCCTCTCCTGTATATGGACTGCACAGCACTCGATAGCCAACAGCAGCTTCTTCTTCATTTAAACCATCACACAGGGAATCCTACTGAGAGTCAGCGTGGTGGTGCAGGCCTGTAATCCCAGCACTGGGGAAGCTGAGGCAGGAGGATTGCAAGTCGGATGAGAGCCTGGGCTACAGAGTAAGACTCTGTCTTTAAAAAGAAAAGGAAAGAAAAGAATATGGAGTCCCACTGAATATAAGTAAGCCGAAAATTTACTGCCTTAGAAATTCTGATTCCCCAGTGAAGTGTAGATGATCAGTCCCATAGGCCTCGTGAATGACTTGGTGAGGTACCTGGCAGGAGTTTAGCAGTACAGTTTAGGAGGCAAAAAGAGACCGAACAGTTCCAGGGAGGGTGAACCTTTTAGAGCTTTCAGTGATAACAAGCAGCCCGCTATGGCAAACGTGCCGTAGGTTCGCCAGCTGGGAGACCACAGCTTGCACTGGAGGATCAGACCTTGGCTGATCTTTAGAAGGGTCAGTTGCAGCTGGCTAGAGAATAAGGACGGGATTTCTACTTAGACAAGCGGCTAGACCTAACAGAGTCAGTGAAGGGCCGATCCGGAGGGGAAAGCAAGAATTTGCCTGTCAGAAATTAAGCCAGTAAACATGGGCTTCATAAAAGACATGACAGAATTGTACCAGCCACGTAACCCTAATTAGAAGAAGAATGGACATAATAGATTGATAATTGGTGTTCAAAGGGTCTGGTATTTATGGAAGATAAACGTGACTTTTAGAAATTGGACCTTGGTGACAAAGAGAGATTTCCATCTGAGGATGTGTCCCTGTATTTATAATAGGAAAATAATGGAAACAACCCAGATGTCCAATAGTTAAGATCAGTTTGAATGTCATGATTTATTAATCTGTAATTTTATAATTAAATGATAAAATATCTATAGCTGGTAAATGCTGATTTTTTTTTTTTTTTTTTTTGTACGGGGGGATCGAACTCGGGTCCTTGTGCCTGCGAGGCAGGCGGCGGAACCACCAAGCTAAATCCCTTCTGATGTACAACTTATTCCATTTTCATTCT